ATATATATATAACCTATATTAGTCTATATGTATAATCTATATTATTATATATAACCTATATAAGTTATATATATAACTAACCTACCCTAACCTAATAGATTATATATGTTATTATATTAGGTTACATTGACTATTGATATATATAAAACCTATAATATAGCTGACTTATACCTACTTATAGGTTATATATATAATCTATAATATAATATAACTAACAAAAAGATATGTAAACTACGGCCCTCAACAAATATTTGTTGAGCCAATGAGGCCCAAAAGATCTAAGAAGAGAAAAGAGAACACGTGGAACACGCTCGTTGGAGAAGTGGAGACGAGTCGTCGCGTTGCATCGGTTCGTACGTACGTGCACAGAGGAGATACCTCGTCTGTGGTACGTGTCTGTAAGGCGAGGGACAGGAGAAGATAAAACGGGACAGGATCCGACGAATTCGGCATTAGCTGTCGAGCCGCAAACGGGGCGAACGAATGACTGTGCTAATCGTTTAAATCGATATCGCGCTCGACAGAGCTGGCGTCGACGTCGTGGCTCGGGCCACGCTCTCCATCCGCGAATTCGCAATTCCACGCCGTCAGCCTGGAAATCTTGGATGCTCGGTGCCGTTGACGCGGACCAGACGACAGTCGATCGAAGTTGTGCAGGATCAATGTTATATAAAATAAACTCATTATAAATTCATTTATATCTTACGAGAATCATTCGAATCTTTAAAAAGAACGCAACGTTCCAAGTCCGCGAAATTACTCTAAAAAATTATGAATCAGTCATTCTGGCGTTAACGTTAAAAAAAGACTTGAAAATTTCATTCAATTGCGAAGACTAGTTTTGGCCGGTGTTTTCGTAATTTTGTCCAAGCGAAGTTGCACCATTTTTGAAAGTGAAGAGTTTGTTGAAACATTCGTTAATTAAGATTACAAGCAGCTTTGATTCGTACGTTGTGTAACGAAAAGTACTTTGCACCAGTAATTTTGCAAAGTGTCTTATAATTTTGTCCACCGGTGTGTTTGGCCGGGTTCCCGAGCGCAGAAGACAATCAAACTCGAGGAAAGGGATACACCCGTTCGTCGGTGGTTCCGTACGTGCGACGAATTTCTGCGAGGTGCAAGGAAAATCCTTGGCAAAGAAAACCAAGGAAGAGAGAGGGAGGGAGAAATTTGAAATTCTTCTCCAATTGCCAAGTGAATTTCTCCACGAAACGCTCGTTAGAGTCGCACGTAGCGGCCAACTGCTTATGTTTGGCGAGTCGTCTGCCAAATCTGTCGATGGAAAAGACCTCGAGATACGCGAGAGTGGCTGTCTCTCTGGGGGAGCAGAGATAGGGAGAGGGAGAGAGGGAGAGAGATGCGACGCGACGCGACGCGACGTTCCATTTGCTCCGAGTAAGGGCAAGTTTCGATCGAACTTGATGAGAAAGAAGAAGAAGAAAAGAGAAAAGCGCTTACCTTGCAGTGGGTGCAGTTGAAGATGACCGAATAGGGCTGTGCACAGTCGTATCGCGCGAGCACTTCCTCGAACTCACAGTGCAACCTCGCGGCTAACGTGTCGACGTGCAACAGCTTGTCCAGGGCATCGACGCACTTCTCGCCGCCGTTCAGCACGTTCTCGAGCGGACCGCCCTTGCCAGGTGCCAGGGCGTTGACCACCGCGTGGTCGCAGCAGTGCCGCAGACGCAACCCGCTCATGAACCAATATCGATTCTCCCTCGGGGTTAAAAAACTTCGCGTACTGCTCCGGCCAAAATCATCCCGACAGATGTCCCTCTTATGCGACTCCTCGAGATAAAAAAGGCACTGTTCCGGAGCCGTCGGTACGCCATCTCGACCGGCTGCTTTCTCCCGATCGGTCCCTCTGGTTTTTTCACTCGCGAACCCGCCTCCTCCTCCTCCTCCTCCTCCGTCCGCCCCCGACGACCTGATCGAACTCGAGCCGAATCGTCCCGATTCCGCGGCGACCGCGGCGACCGCTGCCGCCGCCACCATCGACGCGGTCGCCGTCGTCGTCGTCGACGTGGATGTAGCCGTAGCCGTCGTCGCCGTCGTACCCTTCTTCCCGCCGGTCGTCGTCGACCAATAGCAATTCCTTCCGGCAACCTTGACCTTCTCCATCACATCGACGAACTCGTCGGCGACCGCGCACGCGACCGGACAGGTTTTCGGCACCTCCGGTGGGTCGCATGTACCCTGAAGATCGGCCGGGGCTGGGCCCGCCAGGTCACAGGCCGACAACCAAGGGTTTATCTGATTCACCTTCCAGCTGTATTCGTTGTAAGGATGCATCGACTCGGACTCGAGAACGATCGTTTTGCCGCGATCGTCTCGATACGACGACGACCACCTCCTCTCCTCCACCTCTCGTTGCTCGCGACTTTGTTCTTCCTGTTGTTGTTGTTGTTGTTGTTGTTGTTGTTGTTCTTCGTGACGGCGACGATGGTGCCCGTTGTCCCGGATCAACTGTTCCCGCGCTTCGTGCTCCTCCTCCAGTTGCCGATAATGTTGTTGCTGTTGCTGCTGCTTCTGCTGGTATTGCTGGTACTGCTGTTGACGTTGATGGCTGATACTCGACGATACCAACAGGGAGGAGATCTGGGTGGCGTTGTGCCGCGCAACGTTCTCAACGGGGCCGAGGGATGGATTGCGGGTAAAACCAGAGATGAACTGTCCGGAGGGATTCGTCGAGCATACCAACGGCCAAGCCAGTAGATACAACACGAACAATAATCCGTACTTTCGTCCGCAGCAGCTGTTGT